CACACACACACACACACACACATACTCACACATGCACGCACACAAGCAAGCCGGGGAATGCTGTACTGACTGCCATGTGTGACTTCACACACTGAGTATCTGGAATGACGCCTGCATAAGGAATGACCAGATGGTTGCCCGGTGACCAGTGTACACAGCAAATACATACACACGCACACGCAGTTGGAATGATGTCACACTGTCAAGCTGACCTGCATACGTTAAGTCAGAGCTAATATCTCACACACGAGCATTTCCAGTCATTGTGTCATGTGTTAGTTCTTCACTGAGCTCAGACCCACTGAGGACAGACAGACACTGATGCATCAGACTGTATGATGATCACGTGTTTCTCTACTGTATCCCCATACAGATCATCAAAGCTGCACTCATCAATACTTTTTATATTAACCACAGATTAAGTGACTATGATGTGTAATGTGAAAGGGGTCGCACATAGTGAAAAGTTTCACCCCACTCTGCAGTTCCTCTCAGCAATACAGTCCTTATTTAGCCTTTTATTTAGCTCATTGTTTTCCCTCCTCCAAACTCTGCTCTCATCTACTTCATTTTTTAGTGAAATGCCTCTGATGGATCTGTTGGCTAACTGCCCGGCACAAAACAGGAGAGAGACAAAGTTAGCAAGTGGCTGGGGAAGAGAAAAAATTCATAGTATCTGCTAAAAACAAATGCTGAAATCACACTATTGATTTATCTGATCTGTGACTTCACAGTGACTCTCTGTAGCTGCCTACTTTATACAATAAGATATACAGCCAAGATGCTGTAGTGCTGGCTATGGTATAACCACAGAGAGGCAATCATATTATTTTCAATTTTGTTCCACAACTAGGAAAACTAATTCTCATAGCCATTTAACTCAAACCAGTTCCAAAAATCTAGCAATCTAGCTTTGTCCAGGTCTAACTCTGTCAAAGCTTATAAAGATACTTAACCAGGCTCAATAGACCAGTTCAGGCAGTAACAAACTGTTTTTTTTTAAGTTTGTATTTACATTAATTTGTTGGAAAACCAAATAAATGGTATAAACTACTATCAGAGCCACATTATGGGCTATGACACATTTCAGTTCAAACAGTAAGTGCTTTAGAAAGTGGGCTCAGGAGGTGAAGCAGGTCGTCCACTTCTAATAGTTGTAAGATCGGTGATTCAATTCCATGCTTCTCAGGTCCACTTGTTGAATACTTGGGCAAGATACCGAAACGCCAAAATTAGTGCGTGTGAATGTTAAACTGATGAGCATGGGACAGTGCATGGTAGCCTCAGCCACTAGTGTACGAATGTGTCTGTGAATGGATGAAAGTGGCATGAAGTCTAAAGCAGCTTTGAATGATCGCAAGACTAGAAAGGCGTTATACAAATGCAAGTACAATGAAGCAGCTAAATGGGACTCAGCCAGCATTAATTTTCCCACTGCGACGTGTCAAAAGGTCTTAATGTAAAATACATATTTTTTTTAGCTAATTGTAGTGAAGGGTTAACATTTTTTATTTTAAAGTTCACAAAACACAAAGGTATATGTTTTAAAATTACATCACTTGGCCAGATCAGCCTCTTTAGAAAACCTAAAATCTCTCAGCTGCCTTGGAGGTAACAGAGAGGTGACCTTGAGACTGTTGTTATGTGTATGGCCATTTATGGAAAGACCCACTGAAACAGAAATAATGAGCCCAAATAATGTTTGATTTTAGTATGGATTCTAAGTTATCTGCATATAACACAAATGAAAATAAGTAAAAAATGTTCAATAGCATGATGTGTTTGAAATTAATGAGAGCCTGTAACATGTCTACAATTGATCCCTAATGAAACACTACCTGCAGGCATTGTAATTATCACCAGAAATATGTTTCCTCTCTTAGCATGCAGTGACAATGACAATTCTGTGAAAATTAATTGTTAAAGAAAGAAAGAAAGAAAGAAAGAAAGATCTGAGTCCCCCTGTGGTCTGACATCCTCTCTCATCTTGTGGTGGGTTTAGGCGGATCTGGAAATATCAAGACTCTTGGGGATTCGTACCAGTTCACAGTTGACGTGCGAGACTTCTCCCCTGAAGATGTCATCGTCACCACATCCAACAACCAGATTGAAGTTCGAGCAGAAAAGGTGGGCAGGCTTCCATTTGATTTACGATGGTTACATAAGTCCTTAAAACAATGTTGGTGTCTGGGTGGGTTAGGGTCTGCTGAGTGGAAAAACCACTTCACACAGCATCTTTCCACAGTCATGAAAAATGAAGTCATCTGTAATGTTCTGTCTTTCACAGTTGGCCCAGGATGGTTCAGTGATGAACACTTTCACACACAAGTGCCAGCTACCTGAGGATGTGGACCCCACCTCAGTGACATCATCACTGGGCACTGAGGGGACCCTAACAGTCAGGGCACGGCGACATCCGGCCAAACACGAGCTTGTACAAACCTTCCGCACCGAGATCAAGATCTAGAGAGGGACCTGCTTTCTTATCATAAACCTCTCACTTTTTGTGATTTTATGCAACTTCCTTTATTTCCTGTCTTCACTCAAACCATTCTTTACTTTAAACACTCAACAGAGAGTTGGCACTGCGCTCTATGAAACATGCCACGTCCTCCTCCGTGACTGCAACAATGCCTGTCGCTGCTCATTTATATTCTGACATAGTCCACCATACACAGCAGCAATAGGTCATACCTACGTGTAACATATTGAGACACAGGGGCTGGACATGTACAGCATTCTCACAAAGACACA